CCTGAGTCAGCTCAGCTGAGCTGCTCCCAGAACTGGGTGAGATAAATGTTTAAAGTTTGGGGGTAATTTGTTATGGAAAAACATAATAAACTGTCATGGAATTATTACATCATGGCATATCATCTCCATTATATCACTTCATTTCCTTATGAGATCTGGCATCTGGATCCCAACCTCTCAGCCTCTTTAACCTCATCTTTTACCATCCCATTCTCTCCCCAGCTTAGCCTCACCCTAGGCTCACTCTTGCCTCAGGACTTTTGAATATGCATTTCTCTCTGCTGCTGCCCCCTCCCAGCTACCCCTCTACATGATCACTTCCTTATCTCCTTCAGGTCTTTATTCACATGTAGCCTTTTCAGTGTAGCTTTCCTTGATCCTCCTGCACCCTTAAACTGCAACTGCCACATCTGCCTATCCTTTTCTCTACTTTATTTTTATTCTTAGCCCTTATGATAACATACATAATAAAATACAGTTTACATAATTATCTTTTTTTTTCTTAAATATATTTTATTGATTTTTTACAGAGAGGAAGGGAGAGAGATAGAGAGTTAGAAACATCGATGACAGAGAAACATCGATCAGCTGCCTCCTGCACATCTCCCACTGGGGATATGCCCGCAACCCAGGCACATGCCCTTGACCGGAATCGAACCTGGGACCTTTCAGTCCACAGGCCAACGCTCTATCCACTGAGCCAAACCGGTTTCGGCTACATAATTATCTTATGTCTCTATCGCCCACTAAAATGTAATAAGCTTCATGAAGGCAATAATTTGTGTTTTTGTCTATTTTTGTCACTGCCCTATCCCCAGCACCTGGAATAATGATAAGCACATAATAGATGTGTAATACATATTTACTGAGTGAGAAAAATGAATGTCATAATTCACCAAATATAGTATGTATGTCTTCTATATCCCATATCATATATCACATGCCATATTATGATGTCACATACATATTATTTTTAAATGCAGAGCAAGGCAGTGCAGAGAGACTAGAGTTATAATGAGAAGACCTGGCTTTGTTGCTTGCTGGCTAGCTATGTTACTATAAGTCAGGCATGTAACCTCTCCGAGCCTCAGTTTTACTCATCTGTAAAGTGAGATTATTATTTTAAAAATCAATGAAAAATATATTTTTAAAAAATTGTCTTAAAAAAGAAAGGAAGAGGATGGTGAAGGAATAAAGGACAACTGAACTCATCCCCTTTGAAAAGAGCTCTGCAGAACAAAGGCAACCTGAAATTTCCTAGGGGTGGAAAGGAAGTTGGGAATCCAGGAATCCTCATGCTGACCGCTGAGCTAGCTGAGCTGGCTTATTCCTTTGAATGTTGCCTCTGCCACTTTCTGCAGTTGAAGCTCAGCCTTCCATCTCATCTTCAAAGAACCTCTGATTGAAGAGATTTCTTCTTTATCCAGAAGGAGGAACCAGGTAAAACAAATCAGCAGCTTCTCAATTTAGTGTACTTATTAAGTGCCTGAAATGTCACCTGCCATTTTTCCTTTTCTTGTGAGCAATGAGCCTTCTTGGCAGCATTCATCTCCCCAGAGCATGTCTGGCTTGGAAAGAAAAAGAATTTAGCAATTCCTCTCATAAAGATTCCCTAGGCTAAATGGGACATGAAGAGGTTGGAAGGTTTATTCTTGAATTCAAGATATGCCTGCCTAAGCTCAGTCCAAACAGATACTTTTAGAAAAAAAAGATTCTGGTCTGGCTGGTGTGGCTCCGTGGTTGAGCACTGGCCCACGAACCAGGGGGTCAGGTTTCCATTCCCCTTCAGGTTACCTGCCTAAAGTCAAACAGCTAATATGTAAGTGATGAAGTTAGAATCAGATCCACATCTGACTCCCAAATCCATGTTCTTCCTATGCAGGAGACTTGTATATATCACACAGAAATCTGGGTCTTGGTTTCCTTGCATTCTTGGGATATATTTCGTTTATTACCTAACCCCACAAACATGCTAAAATTCTGGCTATTTTTTCATGACCATTTACTGCAGGGTAAATTAGCATCAGAAAGGCGCAATTAACTCTGTTAAGGCTTTCCTGTTATCAAATCTGAATTCACGCTACCTGATGTTCACCTGCCTCATTAGACTGTAATCTCCATCATGGTAAGGACCATGTCTGTCTTATTCATTACTGTATCCCTCCTAGTGCCTAGTGTCTCAAGTTCTATAAAGCAAGATAAGAGAACCTGAGACAAAGGTTAAAAGGTGAATATTTATTTTAAAAACAAGCAAGGAAGAAGTGAGATAGCCAGAAAGAGAATGAAAGACAGTAAGATACAACTCAGCACAAACAAGCAAGATAAATATAGCCTCTCGCCAGTGTCCTTTTAAAATTACTTTCTATATTTGAGCCCAAGTGACAAGTGAAATCTCCTCTGTAATTTCCCATGTGTTCAGCTAATGAATTTCCAGCAAATGGTTTCAGTAATAGAGGGCCAATTTGGACATTGTGGAGCTGGGGATGGTGAGAAAATGAGGGGTATAGAAATAGACTAACTGAGTCTAGAAACCAAATTAAGTGGTGATTGGAGGCATGTGAGGAGGAAGCCAAGTCTTGGAGCCTGCTCAACATCAAGAAGGTTGGGAATTGGTTTTGCTCTAGCTGATGTCACCATGATGTTTCCCTAAATGCTACAGAGGGAGTTTAGAATCCCAGGATGCCCTGCAACTATTCTTTGTACCACATTGCCTATCTTGTAAAGAGCTGTACTTGTTTATATGGAGGGCATTATATTAATAATTTAATTTCAACCATTGGAGGGAATGAAGAGACTCTGGCTCTTTCAGGTTTATATACCTTTTTCACAGTACGTACACTATAAATGTTGAACCAAATAACTATGAGGGAGTCAATCATGAGGGAGGGAAAGTATGGGGAATGCACAATCTACCCCTTTACATCTGTTTGTGATTCCCACACAAATGATTACTTAAAAACAGTTGATTGAGTGTGACTGAACAATTATTAAATATTTCTCTACTGGTGGTTCCTGTTCAGGAAGGAGAGGAAAAGGACAGTCTTAAGAACAAAAGGGCCCAGCTGGTGTGGCTCAGTGGTTGAACAGCAACCTTCATAGGAGGTCACAACCAGGAGGTCACAGTTCAATTCCCAGTCAGGGCACATGCCCGGGTTGTGGGCTTGATCCCCAGTTTGGGGCATGGAGGAGGCAGCCAATCAATGATTCTCTCTCATCATTGATGTTTCTATCTCTCTCTCCCTCTCCCTCTCTGAAATCAATTATATATATATGGTTGAGTAAGAAAAATCTTTTTTTAAAACTAGGAAATGAAAAACTCATAATCTAGGTTTTCCACTAAGGACACTGCATGGCCTATTCCTAAAAAAGGTATCCATCTTTTTAATATAACATGAGAACATGGCCTACAGCTCAGCCTTACTCATCATGGCTGGCCTTCTCTCAACACAATCCCGCCTTCTACCTGGACTAATCTGTGAATCTAGTTGTCACCAGGTCATTGGGCCTTCTAACTGAGGTCTTAGTTTCTCCCTAGCCTCAATTAGTTCCTGTCTCTTTAAAGCACACATGCATACATACACATAAACCTCATCTTTCCTTTTCATGAATCCTCAGGATAGCTCTGCCTTCTCCATTTTGTGTGTTTGGAAGGAATGAAAGCAAAATATATGAGATGCCAACATAATTTCTCCTTTAGCCGCGCTCTGAAGGACAATTACCCACCCAATCTGCCCAGTTTTATAGCTCTCATAACCCTCCTTTATGAACACACTGTGACAGCCGGATGCTGGCATTGATTATGGCAGCAGTCTTCAGCCACATTCCTATTTAACTGCAACGCAGAGCTCCTGCCTACCAAGCCAGCACAGCTCATGTGACTTTTTTAATTACTGTATTTATGTAAGCCTTTTTCCAACCACAGCCTGTGTCCAACTCCCATCAAAACTGGAGAGGGTCCGTGCTTGCCACTTCTCTAGTGGCTCTCTGGCCTCCTGGCCTAGGGTCTCTTGTAAAATCAATTTAGGGCTCTGGGCGTTCTCAGCAGAGGTCTGTGTGCACAGGAAGTACATTTTTTTTCATTATGAAAAAGCTGAGAAAAGATAATAAAACATGTTGGCAGATGCCAAGGGCAGTGGCTCACCTGGCACCGAGATAGATCAGCAGAGCCTGTAGAATAGGAGATGGAGGGGGCGGACAGCGAGAAAGGGGCTCCAGAATTTGGGGAATGGATTTAGGAATTACTGCGGCTGAGCCCCTGCCTCTCTGGGCTCCAGCTTCACCAGCCGTTCAGCAGCATAGAATCATACTGACTTCAGCTAGATGGGGAAGGAACTTTTAACGTTCAAAGGAAATGCTGGTAATTTGGTGGGCAATCTGGCCTCTCTGGCTGAGTGTGCCACGGTGCAAATCTGGCAGGGAAAGCCGGTGCTCTTTAGCTGCTGCAGCTCGGCTAAGGATCCCACTGCAGGCACCAGCATGTGGTCCCGCAGGGTTAGGCTGTAGGAGTGAGTGACAAGCATAATCTACCCGAAAACCTCCTGGAGAGATTCTGAAACCCAAGGTGACCTTTGTGGGTGGGCGAGCCATTAGCCGAGTGAGAGCGCTGCTGGAGAAAGGCAGAAAGAGGATCTGCGTGGGAGATGGGAAAAGCGTGGGTTGAGCCTGCAGGAAAGGAAAGGCGCCATACGTGTAAGAACCGGCGTCCCGGGGGCGCTCAGCGTGGGTAGGCAGGGCACACGGCTGCACCAGGACACACCAGGTTTTCTCCTTGGCAACTCCAAACCCAGCGCCCCTTCAATCCATAAGTAACAAAGGGGATGAGAGTCAAATAAATGCAGCCCTTGTTAGAATTCCTACCCTTTCTCTTCTGGGGTCTAAGTCCAATAAGGAGTAAGCTCATCTATGCCTCGTCATTCGCATTTTTCCAATTCGGTCTTTCCTGGGCGGGACTTCAGGCCTCGCCCACTGGGCCCCGCCCCGGACCCTCTCCGGGGCGGGGCTCCCTTCGGCTCCCGGCTTCCCTTTCCTCCGCGGCCCCTGCGGGGGCTGGAGTGTCCGGGCCGAGCTCCGGGCACGCGGTGAGTAAGGACCAAGTGGGGGGAGGCCTTGGAGGTTTACCTGCCGGGACAAGAGGCAGCAGTGGGGAGGCTTCTTTCAAGGCACGAGGCGAAACGGGTTCGTTTCTTCCTGACCCCGGATTTGGAGGGCAACTTGAAAAGACTCTAGGAGTTCGTAGCCCTCGGGTCGCCCCTTGTTTCCTACCATCCCTTTTGTCTCTGGGGAGTCACATAGAGCTGGTCGTGGAGAGCCTAGCTCCCCAGGCACGAGGGCCAGGGGCTTGGGTAAGGTTGTGAGGAACACGTGGCCGGTGGAGTTCCGGCAGTCCTTCAATCCAAGGCCCTGAAAGGGATTAGTTTTTTGACCTAGACAGTAAAAGCCCCCTGTAGTTACTTTTTGCTCTAAATCCTTTGGAGGCGGTTAGGAATGAAATTAGAGATGGCTGGGAAAGGGTATGGTCTTAGATACACTAACCTGAAATAAAGGTAAATTATAAGGGTGAGTTGGGTGGGAATGTTTATTAGCATTCTTGCACACATCTTGGTTGTTTTCAACCAATAGTCGAGGATCTTTGGCAGGAAGGTCAGCCTGTCTCAAGTTCCTTCATATCCAGTACTGAGACCAATTACTTTTCTGAAGTACTGCTTTTATAGTTCTTAAAGAGACCCCATAATCAAGGCCCTCCTCAACTTAGTTTTAACTAGCCTTCCAATTTCCCCTCCCAGGGTAACTTTTCCCTTCTATTCACTTGTATCCATCATCTCCTTGACTGTAACTCCTGATAACAGCAAGTGTTTGTTGAGTGCCTGTTTTATACCAGATATTATCCTATGAGCATAATTTATATTCCATTTAAGTCTCCCATCCACCTTGCATACAGAGTACTATTAATAACATTCCTATTTTACAAATGAGGAGACTGAGGTAGAGACTTTTAAGTTACTTGCCAGCTGTTAAGCTTCCTGATACTTATTGACCATTGATTTGATCCTGTTGAACCGCCAAGGGACATTAGTGACAATAATGTGAAAATAACATTAACCGAGGGAAAATTGTTATATTGCCTGTTACTGTTTCTGTAGCTCAGGCCTCATATAGTTATGGGGTTTGGGGGCCTGGGGTCTTGAACCCCACACAAGTGTTCACTAACTATCGGCTGACTAACCTGGAGTGCTTTGATTGCAGTTGTGGACTTTGGACAGATGCAGCGTCAGGTGAGTACAACTCCATTCACCTACCTTTGGCCCCAGCTGTAGGCAGCTGCCTAGGTTGCCTTATACCTAGGCAAGTGTTACACTGCTGGAAGAACAGCAGCCCATAGCTGGTTGGCATTCTGGGCCTGGTTCATGCCAACTTGGTTGTTAACTATACCAGGATGCCAGCATATGTGCTTATCCAATCTGTAACAGTGTGACTTTGCAGGGAGAAACCTAAAAATCCAGACCTTTCCAAGTGGTTCTGGTCCAACAGGTTTGGCTAGTATGAGGTCACTGGAAGCACACATTGGAAACAGAAGAAAAGGTAATCAAGCCATGAAGGGATGTATAAGTAGAGAGAAAAAGTCAGGCTACCAAGTACTCAGGGGGCCTTATACAGGCAGGAAGTACATGGGATTTTTGCTCATTTCTCTGAAATAAAATTTCATGGCTCCCACTCCCCCACCATACAAAGTTAGTCAGGATGATCCCTTTGTAGAGGGATTTCATAGCTGTACTTTTGTATGAGAATGCCTTATAGGAAAATGTTGATGTGAATTTGCTTTAAAATTATGGGCATTCTTCTCTACTTCATTAATAAAATATAAAAATAGCAATGAAGGGGCTCTAGACACTTGGCCTAGCTACAACCGTAATAATTATTGGTTTAGGCTGACCAGATATTTGTGGTTTCTTATTTCAGGGGTGAACAGAGTTGTTGCCTCTTGAGCCCCCTTGGTAATGATTTTGTTTTGGAATGCTAATTTTCTGAGAAGAGATCATGCTCAGTTCTAGGCAAACACTTTTCACTCAGGGTGATGCAGGGGATTATCCATTAGAGCTGACTTAGTTGCTGCTTCTGTGAAAAGTGACTTCCTAGTTTCCATTGGAGGAACTGGTGAGAATGTTGGGGAGATGGGGGAGTTATTTATCAAAGCTAGTTTTGTTCTATCAATTGGCTTCCCCTTAAAAGGATTCCCTTAGCTGAATGCTTTTTTTTTTTAATACTTCAGATGTTCATTGTGAATATGCCTTTTATATATGGGGTCTTAAAACTAGTGATATTTAGAGGGTTTGAGGAATGGTTAGTTTTAATGGTAACATGGGCAAGAAAAGGGCAAATAATGGGAAGTAAAATAATTCCTGTGAATATAAAAAAAATATAGTAAATTATAAATAGCAGGTGGCATTCTGTTTGCATCTACAGAAGTGTAGCCTTAGAAGCTGCTGTTTTTATCTGGGATATTGAACAGTGAAATTTTTTTCTTTTTAGGATGACTTGAAAGTCGGGCATCCTTGGCCCTCCTGAATAGAGGAAATTAGTGGCAGGTGGACAGTCTGTATGGAATTTTCAGGTACGTCCCTATTCATCTCAATATTGCCTATGTGTCGGGCCTTTTGTTAGTCGGTGTCCATCAGAAAACATTGGGAGGCAAAGGCACCTATATGTGTCCCCAACAAATTCAGCCTGAGTAGGATTTTGATAGTTGTGGTCTGAAGGCATGTAGCATCTTTGAGATTATCTGTATCATTCCATCTGAGGAATTTATAGGGAGATTGCACATTCCATAAGGGAAAGGATACTGTATCTTACCTTGTTCACTGCAAGAACCTAAGCTCAGTTCCTGGCACATGGCAGAAATTCTCTGAATGTTGGATAAAATGACTGAAGGCATGGCAAAGGGATTCTTGTTTCCTATTCATTTAAAGGATTTGGCAGCATGGTCTTCAATCAGTGCTTCCAGGCCTCTGTTTTGTCGTCAACATTTAATTCATGGGGATACTTGTATCCATGTCTTCTGCCTGGGGTGCCAGGGTATCTGAAACAAATAAAAAAAGCTATTTCAGGAATTATCCAGCGGTTGTCAGCTATCCAGGCTAGTGTGATGCCTTGGATGGTGTTACACTGTTGGAAGAGCAAGCACTGCCTTTAATGAGGTCTGGCTCCAAGCACTGTTTTGGTGTTGTGGCCAAGTACCTTTGGGCAGTGTTTTGCACCTCTGAGAGTGGAATAACTCCTCCTGTGGAGTTAGTCCTAGTCTGGGTGCGAACAATTTTTTTAAAGTATATTTTTACTGATTTCAGAGAGGAAGGGAGAGAGAAAAACATCAATGCTGAGACAGAATCATTAATGGGCTGCCTCCTGCATGCCCCATACTGGGGATTGAGCCCGCAACCCAGGCGTGTGCCCTGACCAGGAATTGAACCCTGACCTGGTTCATAGCTCGCTGCTCAACCACTGAGACACGCCAGTGGGACCAAACAATTTTTTTCTGTTAGAAAAGGACCCCTGTTAAGGACAGCCTGTCATTCCTTTTCTCTGAATTCTAGGTGCCTTCACCAGAGAAACCTGTCTCCATCGGAACCTCAAATGTGTATGTAATCCTTTTGTCATGTAAGTCCTAATTAACTTGCTTCAGCTCAGATGGGTGGTATGAAATAATAGAAAGAATAATATTATAAATAATACACTTCAGAACATGTAGAATGCTGTATATCGTGATTTATAATAAGAAATACACATTTGATCTTTGTCCCTGTTTCTGACGCAGGGTTCTTAAAACACTTGTAATTTCCTAAGTGATAAGAGCACTAAGAGCATCTTGTGTTTAATATTCAGCTTTTTAAAATTTTGGTTCCTGACCAGAGCTCCTAAAGCCCATGGAATTTCCCAGGTGATAGGAAATTCTTCTAATGGGGGATGGTCACCAGAAGCACTGTAATAACTGGACTTATAATTTGGAGGTGTGAGGGGGACGGCACAGTCTTGGGGGAAATGTGCCCTTAACCTGTGATAGCTGATGGTTTCTAGGTGTAGATAGTATCAGAATTGAGTTAAATTGTAGGAAACTCAGCTGGTGACCCAGATTTGCTTGGTTTGGGAAAACCAAGCTGGTGTCAGAAGTGTTGACAGTGGTGGTAATGTGAGAGCAAAGGAAAAACAAGTGAGGTTTTCTATTCAGGTAGAAAACTAAACTCTCATTTTCTAGAGCTCTGCTATGCAATACCTATGGCTATTTAAAATGACAAAAGATTAAGTAAAATCAGTTTTTCCATGTCAGTATCTAGTGACTACCATTGGACAGTTCAGAATAATTCCACCAATGCAAAAAGTTTTATTATGCAATGTTCTAGAGGAGGGTTGGCAAACTTCCTGTAAAGGGCAGGATAATATTTTAGGCTTGCACACCACATAATCTCTGTTGTAACTACTCACCTCTGCAGTTGTGGTGTGAAAGCAGCCATAGACAACATAGCAATAAGTGAGCATTATTATGTTCCAATAAAACTTTACGGGCACTGACATGAGAATTTCATAACATTTGTAGTGTTGCAACAAAAAATTTGCCCCCAACCATTTTAAGCTCAAGGGTCTTTCAAAAACAGATGGCAGGCCCTGACCAGTGTGGCTCAATTGGTCATTGGTTCGATTCCTGGTCAGGGCATATACCCAGGTTGCTGATTTGATCCCCCTGTCAGGGTACATATGGGAAGCAACTGGTGGATATTTCTCTCTCCCTCTCTAAAAACATTTAAACAGATGGTAGGCTAGAATTGGCCTACAAATTAGTTCACTAACCCCTGTTCTAGAGAATGAAATTCAGGCCTTGAGACTTGACAGGGTCAGGGTTAATACCAATGTATGAAAAGTTCCATATTGTTAATACTTATTATAGCAAACCTTTACCATACATCCTTCATCTTTTAGAGGACTAAGGTGACTTCAATAGTTCTCCTCTTTTAATGGACACCTAAGGAAGAGGTCCTAAGAGCAGCAGTCTTGAATTCCAGCAGCGCCTGATCACAGCCTCGGTCCTTCATAGTGAAATAGAAATGGCTTCGCCTGGCCGGAGTGGCTTAGGACCGAAAGTTTGCTGGCTCAATTCCTGATCAGGTACATAACTGGGTTGTGGCAGGGAGAATGCACATAAGGAAAGCAACCGATTGATAGTCCTCTTTCCCACCCCCACCCCCAATCTCTAAGCATGTCCTCAGGTGAGGATTTAAAAAAGAAGGACCTACCCTAACCGGTTTGGCTCAGTGGATGGAGCCTAGGCCTGCAGACTAAAGGGTCCCAGGTTCGATTCCGGTCAAGGGGCATGTACCTTGGTTGCAGGCACATCCCGGGGGGGGGGGTGGTGTGCAGGAGGCAGCTGATCGATGTTTCTCTCTCATCAATGTTTCTAACTCTCTATCCCTCTCCCTTCCTCTCTGTAAAAAATCAATAAAATATATTTTTTTAAAAAAGAAGATCCCTGGCCGGCATGGTTCTTGGTTAGGGTGCCTGCTTTTGACCAGAAGGGTCTCAGGTTTGATTCCGGTCAAGGGCACATACCTGGGTTGCAGATTCCCTGCCCCGATTGGGGCTCAGGGGAGGCAACCAATTGATGTGGCTCTCTCACATCAATGTTTTTCTTTCTCCTCTCTTCCGTTCCCCCTCCCTTACACGCTCTCTAAAATTAATGGGGAAAAATGTCCTCCAGGGAAGATCAGCCCAAAAAAAGGAAGAAATGGCTTCTATGGAAAGGGGAAATATTTATATATCATTAATAGCCAGGGTTTAAAATACGGGATCTCAGTTCCTCTGAGCATCCAGATTGTCCTGACCATGGTAACGCTACCCAGGTGCAAAAAGAGGCCCCTGTGTTGGTACTTGAAAAGGGATAATTTACTTGGTATTTGTGCTTGTATTTAATACCTAAGAGGTTTCAATGACTTAATTATGCACATTAAGATAATTTTATGGGATTTCCTACTTAATAAGTGAAGTTAGTCACCCATTACTCCTTGTTGACTTGATTTTCTTTATTTCCTGGTGAGCCTAAGATGAAGTAAAACATTTCAAAGGAGCTCTTTATTCTTTTTGTTTGATTCTTATATGTGTCCTGATAGGGGATTAAATCTACAACCTTGGTGTATTGGGATGGTGAATTGGACTGGCAGGTTTACTGGTCTGTAAGTATTCAAGCTGCCACCTCCCGCCATAGGTAGCAGTTAGTAAAGACAAGTGCCCCTCTTTGTTGCCTTGCTCAAGTTTCAAGTTTAATACATCATACTAGAGGCCTGGTGTACGGATTTGTGCATTGGTGGGGTCCTTCGGCCTGGCCTGCGGGGACCAGGCTGAAACCGGCTCTCCGACATCTCCTGAGGGGGTCCCGGATTGTGAGAGCATGGTTCCCAGGTTACATACCGCAGCTTGGCAGCTCCTGCATTGAGCATCTGCCCCCGGTGGTCAGTGCATGTCATAGCTACCAGTTGGACGATCGAACGGCTTAGGCTTTTACATATATAGATTAAAAGGAAAAATTAAAGCAGGATGACTAGGGGGCCCCAAGCATTGAATGCTGTCCTGCGGCTTGTCAATAATTTATTTTCCTTTCAGGGTTGAAATAACTGTCAATGGACTTTTGCATTGACATTTCTGATTGCACCTCAAATTTTAATCAGGAAAACAAAATTTCAGAGGAATACATTCTACAGGCTCCAAAGGGACACTAAAAGGAGGCTCAATGCCTGGGCATTTACACAAAGGAGAAAACCTTATAAGAGCAATTAATTAAGAACTGTAAAAAGTGACAGTGACTCCTGTTAATCTTGCTGCTTAATTGGGGCTTTAAAAATAGCTTCCAGTTAATGGGCCTGTCAGTATTCTCTTGGGAAACAATTTCACTGACTTAATCAGTTATGATACTTAGACTGTCTGCTTAAAAATATCTCTTTATTGCTATTTTAACGAACCAACTTGGTGGGTCATATATTTGTCCATTGAATATCTTAAGGCCTGGTTTAAAGGGGCCCCTCTTACTTTGCCCCTCCCAATTCTCCAGTAAAGGGCCTTTGGGGTGTGAGAATGTTCTATACTGCTTTATTACCTGAGAAGGAGGTGGTAAAATGGACCTTGAAATTTATTTTATTTTAGATTAGTTACAGAAAAGTTGTGACAATAGTATGAAGAATTCCCATCTACCCCTCATCCAGTTTCCCCTAATGTTTACTATTTTACAATAGTATAGTACACTTGTCACAATGGACTAATGGATACAGTAGTAACTAAAGTCCATACTTTATTCTGATTTCCTTAGTTTTCATCTAATGTCCTTTTTCTGTTCCAGGATCCCATTGAAGATACAATTAGTCACCATGTCTCTGTAGCTACCTCTTTGCTGGGACAGCTTCTTAGACTTTTCTTGTTTTTTGATGACCCTGAGTTTTGAGTCAGGTATTTTGTAGAAAGTCCTTCAGTTAGGATTGAGTTTTTCTCATTATTAGGTTGGGGTTAAGGGATTTTGAGGAAGACCACGGAGGTAAAGTGCCATTCTCAGCCCATAATCAAGAATACATAATATCAGCATGATTTATTACTATTTAGAAAAATGATTTTAGTATGTTTTTATTGATTTCTGAGAGAGAGAGAGAGAGAAGCTCAATGGGCTGCCTTGAGCCTGCAACTCAGGCATGTGCCCTGACTAGGAATTGAATCGGAGACCTCTTGGTACATTGGACGACACTTAACCAACCAAGCCACACTGGCCATGGGGTGATTTATTACTGTTGATCTTAGCCTTGATCACCTGGCTTGGGTATTACTTGCCAGTTTTGTCCATTGTAAAATTCCTCCTCTCTATCCAGTACTGCACTCTGCCATGAAAGTCACCGTGTGCAGCCTATACTAAAGGAGAGGGAAGTTTTGCTCTCCTTGGAATTTTTCAGAAATAAACTGGTCTTTTTCTCCTCCAGTTATTCATCTTATTTATATCACTATGGACTTACAGATATTTACTGTATACTTGGGGAAATAATCCAATATTTTTTTGTTCAGATTGTTCCAGCTTTGACCATTGGGAGCTCTTTCAGTTCACTCCTGTGTCCCATCAATATGCCCCATCATTGTGGGGTTATTGTTATTTTTTTAAGGACTTCTCACTTTATGGCACTATAACATGCTCCAGGCTCATCTTATATAGTTCCTATCTCAATCCCAGAGTCAACCATTTATTTAATGGGCCCTAGTTCCTTTATTATTTAATAGTATTAAGGAACTAAGATCTGGGTGCTCATGGTAGAACTATGAAATATATATGTTTACTAATATATATGTATACCAGGATCCATAGTTCATTGCTTCCTATATTCTATATCATTTCATTTTTTAATATTCAGTGCATTTTGTCCCATTGCCTTGATTATTCTTTCATCTGGAACAGTGAGCCTATTGCCTTTTATAGTGGATGCTGTTGACCCCAAGTGACTGATAGTTTTTACTCTACAAACTCACAGTAGAGGAGGGGAATTTTTTTATCAGCTGCTGGTCAAAGGGAGGAGCCAAGCCCAGGCCTTAGTATCCTGATGAGTTAAAGGAGAATGGAGATGCCCTCAAGAAACAGCTTCTTGAGTTAGAATCATGGCTTTTCCAGTGTGGCAGATAGAACTTTTTGTCCTCTTTAGTTGTGATTCTCTAGAGAAGAGCTCAAAGGGATTAACAAATGTAATATGCTGGCCGTCCCAGGCAGTGATGGGTTGGACATGAGGCAATGAACAGAAGAAGGAAAGGACAGAATAGAAAAGTTCTGTCCCAGCCTATACTACTACTCCCATGGCATTCTATCCTTTTCTACACTGGGCTTCCATTTCTTGCCCCTGTAGCACCCAATCATAATCTGTTTCTTCACGGGACTCTTCATATTAAATTTCTCAGATCCCTAAACCCCCTCATCTTTGTATAATAGCTACATGGGGGCGATTGAGGAAGAGACAATAACCTATGATAATTAATCATCTTGTCAGAAGATTGGTCATTTAACTCTTACCCTTTTGTGGCTTTTATCAACTGAATCCTATGCTAGATAGTAGGGATAAGTGATGAACCAGACACTGTCCCTATTTACCTTAACATGGCCTGTCAAACCTAGCCCATAACTTTCTCACCCATCTACCACCTTCAGTTTTCCTTCTGGTCACACTGGTTTCTTTTAGTCTTGGTTTATCTCACTCCCATATATCTAAGCAGCCTCAGTTCTACTGACAGCTAACTAAAGAGCCTCAGCTGGTAATATTAATATTTATGTGTTATAATGTACCCTAGAGTAAGGCCATAAGAATATCCTGTTTTTCAATAATACCCAACTAAAAGTAATGAGATTGCTAGTTTTCTTTAAAAGTTTTTTGAGTCCTGACCAGTTTGGCTCAGTGGATAGAGCGTCGGCCTGTGGACTGAAGGGTCCCGGGTTCGATTCCGGTCAAGGGCATGTAACGTGGCCGCGGGTATACCCCCCCCAGTAGGAGGTGTGCAGGAGGCAGCTGGTCGATGTTCCTCTCTCATCAATGTTTCTAACTCTATCCCTTTCCCTTCCTCTCTGTAAAAAATCAATAAAATATATATTTAAAAAAATAAGTTTTTTGGAACAAAAATCTTGAAAACAAAGGTCAGATTTCCATATCATTTGCTAGTGGACATTAAAAGATAGAATATAGTGTACAAATATTTGAAACTAAATTTAGCTTCAAAAAGTACTTAATGAAAATAATGGGTTTGCAGAGGATTTGTTCAAATTTGATACATCCATTAACTAAAATATGTGGGCTTTTGTGTGTTTTTTCCGGGGGGATAACCTGTAAATGTCTTCATAGTTAAGAAAATTTGTGAAACATCTTTGTGTATAAGTTATAACTGCAGGAGATGCCAAGATAAAACTTAGAACCAGATTTAAATGGATAATTTTAACATGTTTACTCTGGGGCTCTATAAAAATGAATAATCTTTGAAACTATGGTTTTGTCATTTTAGGATTTTTTATGTAAATATTCTTCAGGATGTGTGGCACCATAGAATATTGACATTTGCTGTACATTGACTATGTTCCAGAACTGCTTATAAACTCATTCTGCACATCTCTTAATCTTCTCAACAGCCCCACAAAGTAACACAGTTAGTGGACCCAGGAACTAATGTGGTGTTCAGCAATTCTCCCCAAAGATGGCAGTGGTTTAGGGCTTTCATGTATAGTGCTCCCAAGTCTTTACAACTAACTCTCATAAATATCTACTTGTCTTTGTTGTCATCAACTCATTCAGACGAGCATCTTTCAGTGTCTACTGAAATGTCTGTCCTCTGGTGTCTTTACACCTATTATAGATGCCAAATACTTTTTTTCAGGCCATTAGCATCTTAGCCACTCTTGCTGCAGCTTTGAGGACAATTCCTTTTGTTATTAACATACACAGAACGTATACAGATATACCCTTTAGCCTTTAAAAGGAGTCCACATCTACTTTATTCTTTTTCTTGTACATACCATCCATGAGCCACATACCCATGAGTCTCAGGTTTTTAAAAATGTCCCTCTGGGGAGTCACACATCCCCATCCCTATTCTTACCCTATGGTAGGGCTTATCACTTCCTATTCCTTAAGGACTTACTTTTATTAGTATTTAAGAGGATAGGAGTGAAGTTGGGTTCCCTTTTTAGTTTCACATATATACCTGCCAGATTAAGGGATAAAAAACTTTAATAGGTACACATTACAAACAAACCATTATGTAATATAACACAAGCCATTTCTAGATTATTTAAGAATACATTGAGGATATTTGCAATTAATCTCAAAAATTACAGGATCTCCCTATAATGCTAACATGGTGTTTGCTAAAGTTGCTAAGAGTCAAGATTCCTATCCTATCTTCCCCCAAAAGCCTGTAATGATTAATAGGGAAATTCTAGAAGTGTTCCTAATTTTTAAAAAGCTTTGTTCAAGACAGTCAAGACAAGAAACTAAATGTATAAGTCGGGGGGAAAGGTAAACATCCCTTGTAGATGGTGAATTTACCTAAACGTTATGAGTGTCAACTAGAAATAGTTCGTTCAACTAGCAAGTAAGCAGTTTGAAGATAAACTGAGAGGAAAATAAAACTTGGAATAGTTATGGAGACATGTATAAGTTACATATGAATAAAACATTAAAATAATGATCAATGAAATCTTAAATGGTAAGCTATACCATGTCCAAGAAATCTCAGCATAATTCTCCCAGAGAAAACTAAGATATTTAAGGACTGAATAAAAGTAACGAGTATTTTTGGAACTAGTAAAATTGATTCTAACATGCATTTGGAAAAATAATATTGTGGAAAATGAGTCAAAGGAAAAGTAGCCCTCCCCCATGTGAAAACTGCAAGAATAAAGTGAGGTGGTATTGGCACATGAATATCAATGAATGGAACAGATAAGTCCAGAATAGATCCTGAAACAAGTTGTAAGAAAAATAAGCAGTTTTTTTCTTACAATTGTGTATTAGCTTGCCTTCTAAGAAAAGCAAAATGAATACATAAAAGGGAAAGATGTGACTAGATTTTAAGGATTGTGTGTGGAAAAGCACCATACAAGAATAGGTTTGTGGGTAGGTGTTTGCCAAAGATTAATTATTCTTTAATCCAGTTTCTATAAAGCGAAAGCTCAACAACCCAATAGATAAATGGGCAAAATAAACAGTTGAAGGATGATGATTAACCTCAGTTAAAGCAATCAGATTTTCGAACAGCTCTGGATAGCGGTTATCAAAGGAATGGGGTGACAGGCACTTGTTTGTTGAGTAAATTGTTCAATGAGGGCAATCTAGTTTTTAAAATTAAAACTCTAAACAATTCCAGTGTAATCAAAATATTTTGTGACGTAAAAATTATATATTCCAATTTTAATGTTAACACAGTCACTCATTTATTGACCAATTATCTGTGGCGGCTTTTTCTGACAGACCATATGGCCCACAAGCCTAAAATGTCATTTGTCCTACAGAAATTTTGCCTGCTCCCTGCTCTAGAACAGCACTATATAATAAAAATTTGCAATGGCAAAAATGTTCTAACTATCCACTAGCTATATGTAGCTTATGGCTATTGAACAATGGAATAGCTCTACAATGTATGACCTTTAAGCTTTGCTTAGTGTATCACTGCAACAGAACCACCTTAAAATGTACTAGTACAAACAAGTGTTAAATTCTATGGGTTGAGCCTCGGCTGGTGTGGCTTGGTTGGGCTTGTCCCATGCACGAAAAGGTGCAGGAATGTGTATGCAAGAGGAAGACAATGTTTCTCCCTCTCCTTTGTCTCTAGAAGTCAATAAAAATAGATATTTTTTAAATCATGTGGGTTTGCCCTAACTGGTTTGGCTCAGTGGGTACAGTGTCGGCCTGTGGACTGAAAGGTCCCAAGTTCGATTCCGGTCAAGGGCATGTACCTTGGTTGGGGGCACATCCCAAGTAGGGGGTGTGCAGGAGGCAGCTGATCGATGTTTCTCTCTTGTCGATGTTTCTAACTCTTATCTCTCTCCCTCTCTGTAAAAAATCAATAAAATATTTTTTTTTAAAAAAAAGTCATGTGGGTTTATTGGGTCTGTTGGGTGGTTGTGTTCCACATGGGCTTGGGTAGGGATACAGCCATCTGGAGGTTTCAGTTTGCTTGGCAGTTGCCCTTGGCTACCGCCTGGAAGTTCAGCTGGAGCTGTAAACTAAAGTGCCTTAGTTCTTTTGATGTGGGGCCTTTTCATACTGGTTGAGATTCTCATGACATGGCAACTGGGTTCCAAATGGGTTGTCACTTCTGTGATCTGTTGGACAAAGCCAGTTATGGGGACCTTCCAGATTCAGGGAAAGGGAAAATTGATCCCACTATTCCATGAGAAGCGTGGAATTTGTGGCCATTTTCTCTTAAATATATTTTTATTGATTTCAGGGAGGAAGGGAGAGAGAAACATCAGTGATGTCATCAAATCGGCTGCCTCCTACACTCCCCACACGGGTTCAAGCCCACAGCTCAGGCATCTGCTCTGAATGGTAAATGGAGCCTCCTGGTTCATAGATTAATGCTCTAGCACTAAGCTACCCCAGCCAGGCTTGTGTCTGTGTTTAATTCATGTTATGTGCACACACAAAGTGTATATGTTTTCATAGAAAATCCTTAGAATACACAAGAAATGATTGATAGAAGCTGCCTTAATAAAGGGAAAAAGAGAGTGGGGAAAACTTTACTTGTGTTCTTTGGATTTTATTATATGTATTACCTATTCAAAAATTTCTTTTTGAGCTCCTTCACCTCCACCACCATGCCACTGCTAAAAGAACCACTGGTTAACAGTTTTCTGTTTTTTAATAACCCAAAGTATAGAAGTGACCTGGTTCCAGGGTATTAAATCTGATTTAAAGCCCTAACCGGTTTGGCTCAGTGGATAGAGCGTCAGCCTGAGGACTCAAGGGTCCCAGGTTCGATTCCGGTCAAGGGCATGTACCTTGGTTGCGGGCACATTCCCAGTAGGAAGTGTGCAGGAGGCAGCCGATGGATGTTTCTCTCTCATCGATGTTTCTTATTGATATTTCTAACTCTATCCCCCTCCCTTCCTCTCTGTAAAAATTCAATGAAATATATTTTTAAAAATTAATAAATCTGATTTAAAATAATTAGATGGTGGACTTCCAGATGATTCTGAGACCACAGCTCTGCTGAAGGCAGTACATATGCTCAAAACCTGGGTTTAGATTTATATACGTAGAACTGGGTTCAAATGTTGGCTTTGTCACTATTTAGCTTCATGACCTTAATCTTTTATGTAAAACCAGAATAATGGCACTTAACCCTCAAAATTATAATTAACAATGCATTCTCCGCTACTGATTGTGTGTTGTCAAAATATATGTCCTCAATGCCTCCTGTGCTCAAAACTGCAGCCAAGCTTCATTATGAACTTGAATCCATACTCTATTTTGTTATTTACACTTGATCTTGAAATGGTTATCATGTTAAAGGCTCAGATAATAGACCCTTGCCAGGCAGCTGAGTAGATTAGAGCATCTTCCAGATATGTCAAAGTTGCAGTTCAATCTCTGGTCAGGACACATACAAGAATCAACCAAATGAATGCATAAATAAGTGGAACCACATCAATGTTTCTTCCTCTCTGTAAAACCAATTTTTCAAAATGTAAAGGCTTATATAATACCAGAGGCCCAGTGCACAAAAACACTCGCGGGCAGGGGGACGGAATCCCTCAGGCTGGCCTGTGTCCTCTCACAGTCTGGGACCCCTTGGGGGATGTCCACCTGCTGGCTTAGGCCCGCTCCCCGGGGGACCAGGCCTAAGCTGGTAGTCAGACATCCCTCTGGCAGCCCGGGAGCCCTTGGGGAATGTCCACTTGCCAGCAGGGAGCAGGCCTAAGCTTCAGTCGGACATTCTTAGTGCTGCTGAGGAGGCGGGAGAGGCTCCCGCCCCCAACACTGTGCTGGCAGCCATCAGCCTGGCTTGTGGCTGAGGAGAGCTCCCCCTGTGGGAGCACACTGACCACCAGAGGGCAGCTCCTGCATTGAGTGTCCGCCCCTTGGTGGTCAGTGTGTGCCATAGTGACCAGTCATTCCCAGTTGTTCTGCTGTTGGGGTCAATTTACATATTACCCTTTTATTATATAGGATAGAGGCCTAGTGCATGGGTTGGGCCAGCTGGTTTGCTCTGAAGGGTGTCCCTGATCAGGGTGGGGATCCCGCTGGGGTGCCTGGCCAGCCTGGGTGAGTGGCTGAGGGCCGTTTTCAGGCTGGCCACACCCCCTTCAGGGTGGAAGTCCCTACAGGCGTGTCTGACCAGTCTGGGTGAGGGGCTGAGGGCTGTTTTCAGGCTGGCCACGCCCATGAGCTGGAAGCAGGTATCTGGGATTTATTTAACTTCTATAATTGAAACTTTGTAGCTTTGGTCCAGCTAGAACAGCTGTGGGCAAACTATGGCCCGCGGGCCGGATCCGGCCCATTTGAAATGAATAAAACTATTTAAAAAAAAGACCGTACCCTTTTATGTAATGATGTTTACTTTGAATTTATATTAGTTCACACAAACACTCCATCCATGCTTTTGTTCCGGCCCTCCAGTCCAGTTTAAGAACCCATTGTGGCCCTCGAGTCAAAAAGTTTGCCCACCCCTGAGCTAGAAGCTTCCTGGCAACCCATATTCCCAGCACTTCCTTGAGCAGAGGCCATGCTGGCTGGAAGCAGGTATCTGGGGTTTATTTATCTTCTATA